TGTCATTTGAGAACGATAGATACATGGATCTGAACTATGCAAATTTCCTAGATTGGCTTTTTTATTTGGCATAATTTCCTTGAGAGTTATCAAACTTGTTGCATGCATTAATAACCAGATGGACTTTTAAAAACACATAATAGTCTAAGATATGAATACATTCTGGTTTCAATATTACTGAGTTTATAATAATTCTTAATCTCCCTTGTGATTTCTTCTGTGAACCACAAATTCACCTGGGATCACACACCCATGGATTATTTTAGAAAGAAATAATTTCAACATCTGACACCCAAGCTCCCACCAAGCCATTTAATGTCAGAAACTTAAAAATATTGCTGTGAACCAGAAGTTGTGGTGCACACCTCCTAGCAGCTCGGAGGCTGAGGCAGGAGGATCACAAGTTCAAAGGCAGCCTCAGCAACTTACTGAGGCCCTGTCTCTAAATAAAATATAAGAAAGGGCTGGGGATGTGGCTCAGTGGTTGAGCGCCTCTGAGTTCAATCCCTGGTACCAAAAATAAATAAATAAATATGCTGTGGGTAAATTACCTGAAAGAAAAGGAGAAAATATTATTTTTCCTCTAAATAAAGGTTTCCCAAATTGACTCAGTAAGCCCTGCTTTTAATTTACAATTTGGAAGGTTGAAAGCCAACTAAAGATAAAGTTATTATCTACTTTGGGATCATATTCAAAACTGATTGATATTTACTGGTATGTTCTGAGGCGTAGCTTTGTTTTTTTCAAAGGAACACACTGTAATAAAATGCTTTTGTTAGAAAAGGTAAGCACATTATATAATTTTTATTCTGAATGGAAAATATAGTGTTAACACAATCACTGATCTCCTTTGCTGTAATCTTTTTATAAACTTTTATAAAAATTCCCCAGATTTTTATGTCCAAGGAAAAATACATTTTGGATTATAATTTTTTGTCTATAAACTTCACTGAGATAAACACCCAGTTTAGATTACCACCTGTGCATTTAGTTTCCATAAATAAATTAACAAATCTACTGCATTGAGCCATATAAAATTGCTGATATTAGACTTTTTTTTTTAAATGGCATTATATGGTTCAACAGAACAATTAAAGAAGTCCTCTCTATTGTGACTTCTGCATAGACCATTCTAATACAACCTCATCTATGATACACCAAAATTTCTCAAGACACATCAGTATTTCTCAATCTTGAAAATTTTATTTAGTTAAAATAAGGATCAAGTGCTACTACAGCTAAAAGCACAGCATTTGGAGTCTTTTATTTACTTTATCTTATAGGTAGGCAAGAAGTCTATAGTGTTTGGGGCGGTTTCCCTTTCCTTCCCCACCAGCTCCCCGTTTGCCACATATCCAGAACTGTTTATCAACTGGTAGTGTATTTATTATGATTACAGGCTGGAAGGGGAGTAGAGATTCCTTGCTAAACATCCTCTCTCTCCTCCCTGAGAAGACAGTCTCTTTCCTATTTCCATTTACATCATTCTTTGTCTACTATAATTATAATTTCCGGAGTTTGTAAAAGTTTGCTTCACTTGATCCACACTCTAAATACAGCAAAAGAAAATGTTTGTAACATTTGCGAAGTCTGTATTAGAGTTCTAGAATTTTCTATAGAGTTTTATTTGAAAATAGTTTTAAAAAGATATTTATCAAGGTTATCAAGTTGGGAAATAACAGGTAATTTGCTTTTATTTATTTTTGTGGTGCTGGGAATTAAACCCAGGGTCTTGCCTGTGCTACTCAAGTACTCTGCCACTGAGCTGCATTCTAAGCCCACCAGAGGTTTTCAATATGGATACATAAAACATCAACAAAAGCCCTGGCTTTTGTTATGTTACACTTGTGTTTTAAGAGGTACCATTTAAAATGGCTTCAATGAGAGGACTTGGAAAGAAAACTGAAGAGTAATAGTCTTTTAAAGAATGAGGCTCTAGGGCTGGGGTTGTGGCTCAAGTGGTAGAGTGCACACCTAGCACATGTGAGGCACTGGGTTCGATCCTCAGCACCACATAAAAATAAAGATATTTTATCCACCTAAAAATAAAAAATAAATCAAATTATAAGAATGAGGCTCTAACTTCCAGATGAGCAGGTAAAGGCACTGCCTCTAAAGTGGCACCAGTATTGCTTCTATTGTATTTTTATTCCTCTTACCCAAATGTCCACATTTTTGCACACGTAATAGTTTCAGCCATGTAATATTCTGGCATATCCATGATGTTCAATAAAATACCTTATATAGCCAGGCATGGTGGTGCACACTTTAATTCCAGTGGCTTGGGAGGGTGAGACCAGAGGATCTCGAATTCAAAGCTAGCCTCATCAAAAAGCAAGGCACTAAGCAACTCATTGTGAGACCTTGTCTCTAAATAAATACAAAATAGGGTTGGGGATGTGGCTCAGTGGTCGAGTGCCCCTGAATTCAATCCCTAGTAAACCCCGCCACCCTCAAAAAATACCTTATATATAAAAGAAAAAAAACCTCTCTTAAAAATCCATGCTAGTTCTGTACCTCTCATCTCAATATAAAAAAGCAAAATAGTAATTATTGCAGAATCATCCATCTCTTAGATATTATTAAGTATATATTTCACAAGATCAAATATATTGATTATAATATTTTATGATATTACAACATGATCAGAATTACAGAATAGTTAGTACATTATTAATAAAAAATTTCCAAAGAAATTTTGTGAATTTTATTAAAGTCCCAGAAGCCTATTATTTGAAAATAAGTACTTCTGAGATAAGAAACAAAGGCATGTCATGATGTTTGAATGTACATATTGTTTCACACAGTTTTTAAAAGGACTTTACCATCATTTCATTGATCAATATTAAAACCTCTGTAAGATAAGAACAAGTATTATAACTGATATTTTACATGTAGCAAGTTATTATGATGTGGTTAGAAATAAAACTCAGGCCTTTTCATCCTTATAATAATGCTAATCCATCTGTAATTCCAAAGACTAATATATAATGTATTATATTCCGTATTTTAATTAGAAACCACAGAATCAATGGTGACTACTTTCTTTCAAATTGTCTCTAACGAATTCCATTCCAACTCCTTAACAGCTTGAACGTCTGTCTATCTTCTGTAATATAATCTTAATTAAAGCTCTCATCTTGTGCCAGGATCACCTAGCCTCCACTCCCTTCCTATGAATCTTCAGCTGTGATGCTGCCAGAAGAGTAAGCTTTTGGAAACAGGATGCAGGGGCACCGGGGGTGTAGCTCAGGAGTGAAACACAAGCACAAGGCCCTGGGTTCAATCCCCAAGACCACTAAGGAAAATTAGCATAAATAAATAAAATCTAATTCTGTAAGTGTCACTCCTATATTTGAAAACTGATGGCTGGCTACTGTTCTGAATGGTAGTTTTTAAACTATGCACTTGGGGACTTTTGTTAAATTGGACAAAGGTGTCTATGGTGGCTAAAAATCAAGAAATACCAACCAGTTTACTTACTGGAACAAAAAAAAAATTAAAGAGATACAGCTACGTTTTAAAAAATGTCTTCTTACATATTTCAGATTTCTTATAGTTTGTCTACTAAACAGACCTAACAGGTATCCAAATAATAAAATAAAAAGCAATGTTAACTCTGAAAGAATCAACTATGCTTATTTTTGCCCCTTTTGAGGTAGTGGAAAATATGCTCATGATTCTTTTTTATACAATATATAGGTCACGTTTTTTCCAGTTCATAGGATACTTAAACATATGCATAAAAAACTAGAAACTAACAACTTCTACATATGCTGTTTCTTGAACAAATCTGAAAACCACATTTTACCCCTGTGAAACCTTTGGCAGTTTATGCACTGTTCTTGTAGTTGAACGTATAACCTTTCACTGATGCACACACATACCATTGCATTTTACTCATTTACTAAATGTCTCTGGAATTACGTAGTGAGGTGACTAAGGACAGAAGCGCATGCAATTCACCCTTAAATCACAAATGCCTGACATATAGTATGCACTTGATAAATACTTGTTAGAAAAAGCACTGAGTTTATGTGAGAAAGACTGCCAATTATTTATTACAGGTGTAGAGTTTCATAACTGTAGAACAAAGTGTATAAAATTATTTTCTGATTCCAGCATAATATGTGACATATTATAAAAATGAAATAATATAGTTCTAAAACTATTTAAATTCATACTTTATAATACACTAGGCAAGACAGTAAGTTGGATACAGCAAAACTCAATTAAAAACATGTCAATGTCAATTTTTAGGGAGTTTCTTAAAAACATGCAGTCCTTAGAGCCATCAAGTTAAATTAGGATTCAGTCCATCCTACAAAACTGAATTATAATTGTAAAGCATTTTAAATTCTATCAACAATAACTGGATAATAAGTATTAAATTGTCTTTTCATGCCTCCTATATTAAAAAAAAAAAGGTATGTACCTAGCCTAGTGAACCCTATTCAGTCTCTACACACATGAGAACTTAAACATGAAAGCCAGCAAACAAAAATCTAGTTCATTGGTAGAGTGCTTGACAAGCACATGCAAGGGTTCAATCCTCAGCACTTCAAAACTGAAACTAACCTAATGATGTTGAAATCATTACTTTATTATTGCAAGTCAAAATTCTACAGAAAGAAAAGCTTGCTGACATAGTTCGCATGGTGAAAAGTACTTAATTTTTGTCTTTTTATAAGTGTATTCCAAGCTTTAGGTTTTTGTTTTTATTTATTTTTTAAAAGTTTGGAGCCTACCAGACATCACCTATCAATTATAATTAGTGGGCAGGGAATACAACAGCCAGAGACACACTTCATGGGTGCTAAGGTTTATGGATTACAACTGCCATTAAATATCATACTTGCTTCAGTCTGATTATAAGTCCTAAGGCCTATGGGCCAGAGGTAATATGCATGTATGTTTTAAAAGTCAGTATTTTAAGACAAACTATGAAAAGATCAAATATAAGGAAAAAAAAAAAAAAAGAACCAACCAGAACTACTTACAGCCAGCAAGTAGGAACTGATAATACTGTACTGCATCTGCAGCAAGGAGCAGAGGGTGGTTTGCATTAAATGGTGGTTGCAATTCATTCCACTGAGGCGTTCTAAAGAAACAGTGAAGAATATTAATATTTAAACTTAATAAATGGAATGTAAATCACCATGACTGTCATCATTATAGACACTGACAGAAATTCACACTATCTTTGTAATCATTAAAATGAAGTTGTAATCATTAAAACAAAGGTGCTAAAACCTGAAATACAAGTCCATCTGATTAGAAAAAATAAAAAGATGGCAATGTGTCATACAGTGATATGGAGCCAACACTGTCTAACAGAAGAAGGCTCTCCAATAGCAGACACATAACATTCAGAATGTAGAACAGAGAGGGAATGTGGAATTCAAAGCCACAACTAAAGGGTTCTAATTTTATGTAGTTTTTGACCAGAGTAGGACCTTCTCTATTCTTAGAATATGTGTATATTTTAAAATGAAATGAGTCACGTAAAATGGTTAAAAAAAAAAAAAAAACACAGCTGTGTAAATGGATGACTTCTTCTAGATCTAATTAGGATCTGAAATCCAAAATAGGCCACTATTTCAACAATGATGCTGCAGTAATTTTAATCAGATCTGCCCAATTCTAAATAAGCTTGATAAATCAGATATTGATCAAATCAATCCAGCACAGTAAAGTAGTAGTAAAGAATGCTGGAGCCGCCAAAAATCAATATAAGAATATTTTAAAATGTCAAAAAGGAGAGGGGTCATTTTCATATCAATTTTTGTCTGTTTCCTTCCATATATGTCAGGAGCAATCTCTTCTCTCCTGGACAATGCACTATATTGAGCAGCTTTTATTCCAGGTTTCATTTCTCCCTCTTTGTGACTCTTTTAAGACTCTCATTATTATGCACTTTTGAGATGGACTCTGGTTCTTAATAAACATTCTACAGTGCTTAACCATTGTATCTTGGGGGATCCCTTTAAAGGAAACCTTCAAATCTATTTATATTACTTTTTATTCCCCTAATGGCTGCCTCAATGCTACTCATTATTTTCAGTGACCAGAGACAGTAAGTAAGGAAAATGTAAGTGAAGGTAACACAAAGATGCAAAGAGTTCACAAAAAGTTGTTCTCCAGGTTTGTACCTGAGACAATTAAAACATATGTCCACACAAAAATTTGTATATGATGTTCATAGCCCAATTATTAAAGAAAGCTCAAAAGTAGAAATGTTCATCAACACATGACTGGGTGAACAAAATGTGGTATATCCACATAATGGAATGTAACTTAGCTATAAAAGACTGAAGTTCTGACACATGGCAGTATATGGATGGATGCTGAAAACATGCCAAGTGAACAAACACAGACACAGAAGGTATTATATTGTATGGTTCCATCATTATTTAATGACCAGTATAGGAAAATCCACAGAAACATTAAGTAGATTGGTGCTTAAATAGAAATCCAGGGTTAGGGGAAACTGTAGAATGACTGCTACAGGGTTTCTTTATGTGGAGATAAAAACTGAATATAGGGATGATTGCACAACTCTGTGAAAAGTAATGTTTAGTAGTTGGATTTTATTGAATATAAATTAGGTCAAAGGAAAAAGGTCATGAACTATAATTTTGATAGGTGAAAGAAAGCAGGCAAGAGAATGCCTACTCTAATTAAAATAACAACAACAATAATAATAATATTAGAAAAGGGATCAGTAAAGTACAGCAAGTGGTTGTACTTCAGGAGAGGGAGGGGGAAGGGAAAAGGTCAAGGGGAATGAGATTGATCAAATTAAGTGTATTTACAAGTACAGCACAATGAATCCAACTCTCAAGGATAATTATAATGAACCAATTTTTAAAATAAAAATGCATATTACATGATTCCATTTGTATAAAATTCTAGTGACAAAGATGGGTGAAAAGAGAGATCCTAAATGGGCACAAACATCCTTCTGGGAATGATAAATATATCAAGATGATCCTGATGATAATTTCATAGCTGTATATGTATGTTGAACATTATTGAATGGTACATTTTTAATCTTTCATACTTCAGTAAACCTGTTTTTCAAAAGGAAGAAAGACAGGAGTTACTACCTAACCAGAGTCCAGCTGGCTCGAGGTGATGTCATCATTTCCAGTGGAGTGTCATCACTAATCTTGGGAGCAGTGCTGAGGGGTCGAGGCTCCATCATGTGCTCCACCAAGGTTCCATAGCAACTGATAATGTAGAGAGATTCAACTACGACTTGTTTGGACTGATCTACAAACAGACAAACAGAACCTGAATATGTGACGGTGGCACAAAAATCGCACAGCATAATCTGTAGAAGTTATTGATCGTACTGGTCTGCTCCTGAGGCTGCTGAGAGAAAATGAAAAAATAGGAATGTTGTTATATGGTGCCTGCTCCTTTCCTAAAGGCTGACTGGCATAAGCAGATGCTAGGGTGACACATGCCTATAATCCCAGGGACTTGGGAGGCTGAGGCAGGAGAATCCCAAGTTCAAAGCAAGCCTCAGCAACTTAGCAAGACCTTAAGCAACTTAAAAACACCCTGCCTCAAAATAAAATATAAAAAAGGATTGGAGATGTGGTTCAGTGGTTAAGCGGGTAAGCACCCCTGAGTTCAATCCCTGGTACCAGAAAAAAAAAAAAAAAAGAGTAGATGCTAATGAGTGGGAAAAGCTCTGTGCTATCACAGAATTTCCAAATATCAAACAATTTATTTCAAGAATAATATGACTATGCTCAAAATTCAAATACACCTAAACAATGTAGTTCTATACTTTTTATATTTGTCTATCATGTAATTTGTTCCACATTAAGAAAAATGAGTGTCAGTTGGAGCAGGGAAGGAATCACTAAACAGAAATAATCTACACACTAGGATTTAGTTACATTGGATACAGCAACTGAACTGCATGAAAAGCTACCTTTATGCCTAAATGAGCCGAACCCCTCATCTACTTTTTCCTCAGAAAACTTAAATTTAAAACTCAAATTTCTAGATCAAAACAAATGAAAATTACATCAACTTCAATGGAGGTTCATCAGTTGAAACAAATGTACCAATCTGATGATGGGAGGGAGGCTGAGAATGGAGGAAGCCGTGTACATATGGGGTAGGATGTAAGAGAATTCTCTTTTTCTCAATTTTGCTGTGAATCTGGAATGACTAGAGAAAAATGAGATCTATTAAAAATGTGTGCCCATGCACACACATTCATCCTCCTCACTTAAACCCGTGCTTTCTCTCAACGGGATCACTGGTTCTCAAGTGAAGATCAGTCATGCATTGAGAAGTCAGGTGCTGAATATGGATCTAATCGAATGACTTTATAAGGAATACACATGTACTCACTGCCAAAACAGGTTTAATGCTTACTCTCAGGTTTTACAGTAAACCAAGGAGCATATAAAATCACTCATGAATGCTGGGTGGGTCATCTTATCTCTGTGTCAGACGAATCAATTACAGCTGATTTGAGAAAATGGCTAATGACCAGCCAGTGGGACATAAAGGAGTAGCAAGTTAAAAGGGTAATTAGAACAGAAGGGAAAAGCATTGGAAACTGAGCTCCACAGAAGTTTCTAACGAGTAACAAAAAGTCCTTTCGATAGCATCATTAAACCTAAGGAGGTAACAAAAAAATAAAGATGGGATAAGGAAATGGAAGGCTTGCATACTTCACGGTATCCTCTCTCACTTAGGTAAAGAACCTGCTGTGCCTGAGATCCTATTACTGAGGGAAGGGTCACTGAAAGGCGATAACGAGGGAAAGGGCTGATGTCTGACTGCCAGGATTAAGTGTAAAGGAGAGCCATTTTGCCAAGAACAATACAGTCTGTGGAACTCACCAGAAGTGCCTCAGTAACAACCCAGTTAGTGACCTAATTAAATAATACTAAAATAATATAGGGAAAATTGTTCCTTAACATTCATACTTAGTTTATGAATGTAGGAATTCTCTTCAATACAGACACAATAAGCAATCACATACTAAAACATTAATCATACAAACATTTTAGGTATCGATCCTGGAAATCAAATCAGGAATTAAAAACATAATAACTATATCAATTCAAAGGACCAATGGTCGCCACAAAAATTGACTCATTTTTCTCAGTGACAGGCTGGTTTGTCTGTTAAAAAACATGACAGAGTTGTTGCTGGTTTTATGTTTTTCTCCTAAAGTCAAGATTTAGCATTAGAAAGGTGATTTCAAACTCTGGTTCCATCACCTACTAATCTATGGTCTTTAGTTAAGCTATTTAAACTTTCCGATTTCAAATTCCTCATCTCTAAAATATGGACAAGCAAGGTTTTCTTCCACACTTTAGAGACAATGATGTAAAATCTGCTTGTAAAAATGTAAAAGTTATAATATGAATATGGAATTTACATCATTGTAATCACTTGTACACTGTCATCAATGAAACAAGACAAAAATCACACAGTGGAAAATTCATTCCATTTCATTCCATTTCATAGAATTTCATTCTTTGTGAGAGGGTAGATTTTATTCTTGACTAAGTTTGAGTAGTTGAAGAAAGACTACTAACTAAAAAAAAAAAAAAAACAAATTTTTCTTTTAGCAAAAGCTAAGACTATTTGGTACAAGATTATTCTAGGGGAACTACTACCAATTTTCCTTAAGAAGCAAAAACTGTAAATTGCAAATTTGAACTTCAGTAAAAAATACATACCTTTTTCTCTTTTAAGACCTGCATTATTTGCAAACCATGACCTGGATGTCCCAAAGATAGCAGCCACACAAAATTCTCCGCCCATCGATTTGCTGGGTGAAATTTGTGGAGGTGGTTTAACTTTGCTTAAAAAATAAAATGACATTAAAAAAAATTACCATGATGAAATGACTTGATCACTGCAGACAACAAAACATTTTCCTCTCAGTTCCACCCCCACGTGTTCAAATGCTATAATATGGACATGCATTTTGCCTTAATAATGTGAGACTATGTTTGGGAATAAAATTAAAACTAGTTCAAAGTCACAAAGTCTTGTCAAAAGAGAAAAATATATGACCAAAACCAAAATTCTAAATTTTGGTTTGGGGAATTTTAAAACAAAGAATTTTAAAACAAAATTCTTATCCAGGTGCAGTGGAGTGCATTTGTAGTCTGAACTGCCAAGCAGGTGGAGGCAGAAAGAAAACCTGGGCCCAGGAGTTCCAGGCCAGCCTGGACAAAACAGTAAGGTCCAGTCTCCATAACAAAAGCAACAAAAATTTCATTTCGAAGTATGTGCTGGCAAAATCCAAGACAAGTTACTTAAATATCTCGCAATAACAAAATGGATTATCATTTCATTTTGATACATAAAACATGGGGTTAACAATATGGGTGAATGGCAACAGCATTATGAAAATGAAACAATACAGGATGAAACCCTGAAAGTGCTCTCAGCCACAGTGCTATGTCTAGTCAGATCCTGCAGAAGATCTAGTGATCTACGGCAATTGTATTCTTCCTATCTGTTGTTTCTTTTTCTTCATGGATTTGTGAAAATAATGTGTCTATTACTGGGTAAGGGGTGGCATTAAAGCAGAGTTCAATATTCGTAGCATTTGAAACATAAATCTGTTCTGCTTTTCCTATGTCTGAGGACACATTTAGTAACTGTTACTCCTTCAAAGGACTTCCATTATAAAAAACTTGCTTTCCTCTTTGTTTTTCACAAATAAGAGTTCACACCCTCAAATTCTAATATTTATCTTTCATCTTCTTTCAAATGCTATACTTCTGTTCTCTTTTAATTTATCAAGATCTTCCCCCAAAGTTCATTAGGAATTCTGTCAACCACCTTAGATAATTATTTTCTCCAACTCATAGACCAGAAAATAATCTCACTGGTTATTGGTGAACATCACAACTTTGATGGAATACAATGAACTCGATTTCTGACGTTCCAGCCCTGCAGGTTAGTCCTCAATATAAAACCATAATGTTTCTGCCTTCTTTTGTTCACTTTACTTTATCCCTTTATCTTTTAATAAAGTATAGGCAGATGGAATGAGTTTAGTTTCTAGAAGAAACCTGAATTTGAATCCCAATGCTGCCATTTATTAGCTAGGTTCTTCTGGTTAATTTATTTAACCTCTGAGAGCTAAAACTACCAATATGTAAAATATAAATAGTAATTCCTATCATACATAGTTATCTTAAGTATTATATTTATTCTTAAATCTAGTCCCTAGCTAGTAATACCACCTGGAAAGTTCTGAGACTTGCAGGCTAATACTGATCAGACCACATGCCAGACTCACTAAGCCAAAAACTTTACTTTTTTCTTTTCTTTTTTTTTTTTTTTTGGTGGTACTAAGGATTGAACCCGGGGTTACTCACCACTGAACTACACTCCCAGCCCTTTTATATTTTTCAATACAGTCTTGCTCAGTTGCCAAAACCTACTTTGAACTTGCAATCCCAAATTGTTGGGATTACAGGCATATGCCACTATACCCCGCTAAACCAAGAGTTTCGGGCAGAACCCAACAAACTATGTATTTAAACCCTCCAAAATATTCTGATGTATGTTCATGTTTGACATTCTATTTGATAAAGCATGTAAAATTCCCAGGCAGGTGCTTTCCCAATCATAGGACTCAAATACATTTCTCTTTTACTTAGCTCACAGACCTCACCTAATTTTCAAAGTCAGACTTTGCTTTGACAATCTCAGTTTCCCAATTTCTATGACACTTGAAATAGTCTCTCAGATATCTTAGTTCCTGCGCCTTCTGTTTGACATCTTCCCTCTATGGAAACAAAACCTCTGTATCAGATGCTACTATGATTGTTCCCACTGCTCTCCTCCTTTGAACCAAATCCTTGCACACTGCTGTATGTGAAAAAGAGTCTTCTTTCCATCATTAACACTGACTATACATTTCACACCACTCTCCAAAAGAATTGCACCCATGCATAAATAATCAAAACCAGTCATAATAAAACTTTCAGTTGGGGGGAATTATGACAGTTTAAACAGATATTTCTGTGAGAAAATGAATCTGGTTATACGATTTGCCTTCTTCTTAGTTGGATATGTCACAACTGCAATAAGCTACTTCCAGAAAAGAAGATGCCCCTATACCCTACACCTGAACAAGCATGTCCCTTCCCCTGGTATGTGGGTCATTGGCATCAGAATTCTTTCTGGTTATGGTGTTCTTTGCTGCATTACATTAGAATGTATGTTTTCCTTCAAAGCTTTTCTTTACATAACTGAACCACTATCATTGAGCTGAAAAGTTCCTGCAACTGGCATCTGTGAAGTACCATTGGTTATTTTTATCCTTACAGGTTGGAGAGGTTGGGAGGGGTGGGGAAGAGGAGAGAGGAAACCATTCTAGAATCTTTTGCAAGGTGTTTACAACTGTGTGACCAGGTGTTTTGTTTGTTTGTTTGTTTGTTTTACTAGAATCACCATCAGGGAATAATGATACTACGATGTGAAAATGAGCTTACAGGGACATATTTAAAGCTTTTTGCAAATTACTGGATGTGATTTTTGTTGTTGTTTCTAAATCATGAGGTGATGAGTATACCACTTAGTAAGAGAAAATATGGTTCCACTAAGGTATGCATATAAACAGATTAAAAATCGTTGTTACTAGGCTGGGTGGCCATTTTTCTAATATCATATAATGAGTAGAAAAATGATAGGACATAAATTTAGTCTTTTGGACAAAAAAATATATATATTCTCTGTGCTTATTAGCTGACGGTCTGATAAACCTATGTCCAAAGCTAAAATCTCTAGTACTTCTATAAGTAACACATGTTTCAGTTTGGGAACACAGAAGTGAAAAGAATCAATGCAGTGCCATTTTACAGAAGACCATTATCTCCTACAGGGAATATTTTATGGTAAAATTGTGTTTAGTTTATGAAAAGATTGTCATTTTTATTCCTAGATTTCATCATTTCTTCTTTTTTCTCTGATAGGACCTTCATCAATCTCATAGGTAAACATTTGCGTTTAATCAGGAATCAAGAGTTTACATCCCTCAAAATAGCCTGCCATCAGCCAGGTGTGGTACACAACTTAACCCCAGCAACTCAAGCAGCTGAGTCAGGAGGATTGCAAGTTTGAGGTCAGCCTCAGCAACATAGGGCTAGGGATGTAGCTCAGTGATGAAGTGCCTCTGGGTTCAACCCCTGGTATACACCCACCAAACATGACAAATTGCTACGTATAAAATGACATAGTGCTTTACACTGGGGATGGAGGGTACTGGGCAAACACATTCATATTGAGTTTTTTCTATCATCCATCTACATCTGGAACAATTTTGATATTTAAGCAAAACAGAATCATAAAAATATGTGCATATGGGCTTGCAGAGGAATAAAAAGGAGAAGCAATCTAATGAAAAGAATGCCATTAATAAAATATTTTCTGTGTAACAGACGCAAAGTTAGAAATTCTCTCTTTTGCTCAATTTGTCCTTTGTCCTACCATTCAAAGACTTTGTCCAGGAATGCTTGGTAGAAGCAGAATGGCTTTTCTACTAAAATGTGTCAGCTATACACTATACACGAACATTTACACAATGACCCAAAATATTTCTATCACAAAGTAAACTTTGTTGACCTTAAGATAAAACACTAAAAAGTGATACATATGCAAATAGAATAAGAAAGTACTAGCCTTGTAAATAGTGTAAATTTACAGATTGGTGACTCAATCCTTATAAGAAAGTGCCCTGATATTTATTAAACATTTTTTCAGTGTTTGCTCTAAATATCCCTCTTTGTCCTCCTAAATGGGACTTAACAAATCCCATCAAAGAATATTTGCAAGTTTAAAAAGACTAACTCTGGGTGTTTAAAGGCCCTCTTTTTATTAGTTGACCTTTCTTTATTCGTTTATTAAACTGACAGTATGATATCAAATAATATTTAATATTTAAATTTATATTGGTGCCTAAAAATTTAACTGGATCATGTGGACTCATCCTTTTCTTTTTTTCTGTTTTCCTTTTTTGAGAGGGTAGGAGTAGGGGTACTGGGATTGAACCCAAAGGCACTTTACCACTGCCACATCCCAGGTCCTTTTAATTTTTATTTTGAGACAGGGTCTCACTAAGTTGCTTAGGGCCTCACTAAATTGTTAAGGCTGAGCTTGAACTTATGATCCTCCTGCCTCAGCGTCCCAAGTTGCTGGGATTACAGGAGTGAGCCACTAAGCCCAGCCCAGTCTTTTTCAAATGATTATACATAAGAACAAAACATAACTGATAGTCCTGATGAACTCCTTTCTACAGATTACTCCTGCTCTTTTATTCCTTTTCATGTTTTACAAATAACCCCACATTCATTTTTTTTTAATTTCGTGTAACTTTTGAAGCAAAACATAAAAGAAAAATGCAATGAATCCCACATTCACCATGTCAGAAAAAATAACGGTCATAGAACATTTCATTTACTAAGCCTAATACAAATGAATAAAATCAAAAGAATAAAAAACATATAAGCAAACCAAAATAAACAAACAAGGTACTAAATGAAAATTCAGGAGTTTAACTCTGTCATTTCTTTAAGACTTAACCCATTGCAAATATCTTCACTGACGACAGAGGAAGTATAGGGATATTAACATCCCTAGGATTTCAACAATATTTAGAAAGCCTATTGAAGTTCTGCATCTTTCTCCCATTGGCTTCTACTGTATTATGATCTCCAGTCAGATTAACATATTAAATTTCTCTTGCCTGTCTTTTCTCCACACTCAACTGCAAACAAGAGGAGAAAAAAAGAAAAGGAAAAAAAAACCTCTAGTGGTATCTGCTTTAAAAACACAGAACCA